GCTTCGCAGAAGTTTCTAAGCTCTTCGATCGGGTAAATTTTTAAAGAAACCTTGTTTTATTTTTACAGGTTCCAATACAATGGGGATCTGGTACCCCACAAAAGGTTTACAAATAGATAACTTTTTAAGCTTATATTACCGAACACAGTCACCACTTCGGCTGGTTAGCTGACCGTTACATACTACTAGGGTTATGTTTGTCTCTGTAATGCTTGTTCAAGTGAAATTTAGACAGCTAGTAAGACGAAAGTTTGATATTTAGCTTAACGAATTTCTTGCTATTTAGCTTACCAACAGAGCAATCAAATACGTAAGGAATGACAGCGTTGGGCCACCTTTCACTGTCTACGTTGCTGGCAGCTCGAGTTTGTGGACCGTTCGGAGTTCCGTACTTTTTCATGTTTTCCTTTTGTTTCGGTGTGAATTTGATGTCCCCGCCATAAAGAGATGTTGTACCTCCTGGGCTGTGGTGTGAATCTACCAAGAAGAGCATACAAAAATAGACATTTTGAAGGTGCCTAAAAGAAGGAAAATTACTGGTTCCGATTCTTCAATCCCTCGAAGCTGATGGCTGAATTGAGGGGGTGATAGGACGTCACCAAATGAAGGAGCAATCGGCTGCTGTTTCATCCCATGTGTGTTCTGACCCCACCCTACCAAACTCAATAGCAGATAGACCATGATACCGCACTTGACCGCAGTCTACCTGCCCTGTTCTTTTCGACTCACACCAGGGGGTCTTCTCTTTTCCCTTCTAATTGACGTCAATAAGGCCATAGACACTATAGATGGACAGCTTTACTTCATCGGCAAAAGACGAGGTCATCTGACCCGAGGTTAGCCTTTTCCAAGCTCCAAAATACTATTTTGCAGAGATCGTGAAACTGGTTGGAAAACACCCGCGCGTCACATTTTTCCACAAAAAACCTGGTTTCCGAGACACCCCTGCCTAGTATCTGAGAACCTGACACAGGCTAACCTTCGACAAGGTCTTTATTCAAGTCAGCATGATTTTACCCATTAACTAACGACCTTGGTTGGAAGTCGCGCTAGGCTCAGGGGTCATTTAAGGTGAGATCGGGAGATTTTGTGCAGTATTCGTATGAATGATTTTTGGAAGTGGCCTAGCTTGGCACTTAGATGCGCTTTGAAACAGAAGCTTTGGGCAACTCGGAAATGGCCTAGAGACCAACAGCCATCAATATAGCTGACCAACACCTTATGCTCTGGTAAAACCAGCAATTATTCAGAGTTATTTGAGAATTTTTGTTGGTGAGGTAATAGAATATTTCAGTTAATTGAGACTTTTCCCTTACCTGGTCGTTGCTCTGCCCCTCCCTTCTGGGGTTCCTCTGCACACCTCACCAAAGATGTACATGCGCACAAGACAAAGAACAAAAGGAAAAATGTACTTTCCATCTGAAAGATAGGGTAGGATGTGAGTGTGTTACTAAATGAGTTACACACTCATATCAAGTTAATTGGGTAAGGTACCATGTTTTGGTGTCCATGGCAATATTTGCGGTCTCAAATCGTTTCCCATAATCATTTCGCTGATAAATACCTAAAATATGCCCAAATAAATAGCAACAGGGCCTATTTGTGATCCTGTATGCAGTAAGCTTTAAGGGAATCAAGGTCAAATGTGTCATGCATTTTGCTATGTCCGCAGAGAGGGTGCACGTAGGTATAGAATGTTCCGGTATATTTTTGCTTGTCGCGTTATACCGTATGGATACTAATCGATACAATGTCTGTGGAAGGACTTAAGTTAGAGTCCTACACTAACTTTTCTCACTGCAGATCAGTTTTGTTGCTTTTGACTACAGTGAACTGATGTCCGGGATTTTTATGAAACTTCCGTTACCGATCTAAAGGCAGATCACAAATTAATGGCCTAGAAATAAATGTCGCGAATGACTTTCATCGGGTAAATATTACTAATTTTGCTCCTTTAGATACGCAATGCATTATACGAAGAGCAAAAGCCTGTTACTAAAATTACAATAGGAAAAGATGAAAAGTGATTCGTGCTGATTTTTAGTAACGGATGAACTAGTGAGGATTTTTATGGAGTAGGATGGAGTAGGCATCATGGTCTCTCAGTGTTATTAATTTCATTTAAAGATCTAGCAGAAAAGGTAGAATTGAAACTTCCGTTACCAATAATTTGTCCGGTCTTTAAAACATGGGATAAAAGTCAGGTATATTTCGGAAAGTTGTCATACAATTGGCCCATTAAAATTCAAAATATAACGCAAGCCTTGACGACAGTCTCTTAAAGATTTTGTAACGGTAACGCTGCATGCACACGTGTTGCCATTAGTAAGACTTTTTTTTTTTTGAAGAAATTCATCAGGCTAGTGAAGTTAATAAGTAGATTTAAATGTTCTTAAAACATAGCCAGTTATAAGTATTGCGATCAAACGCGCAAAGTCAAACCAGGGGGGAGGGGGCGTCTACAGAGTGACTTTGCGCGTTTATCGCAACAATAATTAACACCTTCAGAAGCCTATTTAAGGCTTCTGACACTTTTAATGTTTTTCAAGTTTTGATAAATATGGCTGGCAGTCATCGAAACTGTCAGCATCATTAAGACGTTAAGACTGGCTATGTTTTAAGAACAATTAGATCGACTGGTAAGACTTTTCTCTGTCAAGTGGCATGAGGGAATTTTAGCTGAGTTTGTGGTTCCTGGAGTTTTATTGCATAGTTTTTAGAAGCTTAGTTTCCCTTAAAGCATTTCTAGACAATTTAGGGATATAAGATGACTATTAGAGAGCCATTTTGACCATTTTAAAATATTTTTAAAAGTAAACTTAATTTAAACTTAAACGTATGGAAAGATAAAGGAAAGAAACGTAGCAAACTATTGATCTTACCTTACTCTTTAATAAAGGTGCCAGGCTATCACTTGTGGGTGTCCAATAGAACTGAATTATGAAGTCTCGCTGTCCCCATTACACATTTGTTTATCGTATCTTTCATTTACACAGGTTTCTAAGGCATCAGGTAACAACTCACCGGCTGTTTAAACTATGCTTGTGTTTAAAATTCACAGGCATTGTTTTCGGAAATTCTACGTGCAGCTCTTATTTCATGTCTAAATAGTTACTTTTTGGTTTTGTCAACGTATCAGGTAATGTTGTTTTTAAGAAGAAAAGTTAGTTTCTATCTGGTGAGTAACTGTGTCATTTGAACATGATCAGCCTCGGCAGCTGGTTATGGATCGTAACAAAATAGTAGTATAATTACACCTCAAGCATCAATCAGATGCAAGAGGCTGGTGTTTCACCTTTTTGCTGTTTTGACAATTAAATCGAAGAAAATTATTGACAGGTAGAATCTGAGCTTTAATCGGGGGAGAAGTGCGCAAATCTCCACAATTTCTGTTGTAGTACAGCCTAAAGATATGTTCGCCTTTGGTCCATGGTTGGCAAGAATTTCTCCTGCGGTGTCTGTCCTCGGAAATTGCGTATTACAAATAAATTAAAGGCCTCAAAGGGATTTTAAGTCTAGCTAAACTTAGTTATTAAGGACAAACACTGTCAAGTGAATGTTATTTAACATACTGCATATAATTTCTAAGCAAATTTTTCCAAAATGATATCTTCTTGTTGAGAATCAGTTTTATGTTGTTGTCAAAATCTAAAACATAAAGCAAAATGCCTTACTTTTAGAGCTTTGATTGGCTATTATTTGGACCGTATTAAACCTTGTTATCTTGGGTCCAGAGGTCCGTTCTCAAGATATTGAGCTTGGAAAAAACTTTTCTTTGGCGCTTTTTCGCCGCGAACTATCTGGATTTAGGAAATGGAAAAGATCTCTGGCACCCAAAGTCCATTACACGTCACCATTCCCGAGATAAGGAGTCTTCTGCCTTTCGAAATTTGAAATAACTGGTTACATTTAACAATGCTTGTTGTTAAATGTAAGTTAACTAATAATTAATTGTTTTCAATAACACATTTTTTAACCCACGCCCGTTAGCTAGATGAGATCATCATAGCATACTCACAACCAACGTGCGCTCGTGCAATGATACTTAATCCCTGTAAGTTTCCGAACAATTTTGATGGCTGAATTAAGGTTTCGAATTCTGTTTATATTGGTATTCAGGCTTGTCATAGTTTTTGGAACGCTCTGTTTGCGCTTGGTGTAGCCTGTATATAGACAGTCTGCAGGTGCTGTAATTTCATCCATCACCGGCACCAAAGCTGTTTGTTCACAGTGTGGTTTATTCTCTTGGTCATTTGATATGGATTCTTAACTGACGATTCATTTTGTCACAGTTGCCCAGAGTGGCGGGGGCGGGGGGTGGGGGGTACTCAAGGTAATCAACAAAGATTTTCTCTCCCCAGATGAACGAAGCTATATCATTTTGTACACCACTTTTGACGAAAAAGAACACTACTGATATTCCGAACACGCAAAACGATAACAGTTATAGCGCTGACACTAAACAAATTTTCAAAAAGTGCTGAACAGTTAATACTACATATCACTGCATCAAAGATGAAAGTAATCCTAAAATAGTATGTAACTTCCCTTACACTTCGATCTGGAAGAGCCTTTGATCGCACGGTCAACTTCCAAAGAAGGTGGGAACGCTTTCACAAACCAGAAACAGAAGTGTTTTGTTTAACTGAGCGACTTTAAGAGGCTCTTCTGTCGAGTAGCCTTTTGAATTATTCAAATATACAACCGTTTGATTATATGGAGGCACTTTTAAAGACTGTTTTGAACACTAAAAATCAGTCTTTTTGGATGTACATTTTAGTTTTCTTCTCAATTTGCGCAATCCTGCCTACGCTCTTCTACTGGAAAATAGGAAGCCCTTTCGGGCGGAGCATCCCCTTGTTACGTTGTATATTCTTGGGATATACCCTTCCCCCTACACCCTGCATGGGGGTGACCTGTCTCATCGCGATCAAAATAAGATCTTAGTAAACACTTTAAAATTTAAAGTTCTCTATGCGTACCGTATGTATATTTCACATCACCATGCAAACGAAGCTTCAGGTTTATTTTACTTCCAGTGAAAATAAATAAAATTTAAAACTTTTCTGCATTATTTTATACTATCATTTATTCCGCGTGCTGCACTGAATCTTCTTGCTGTTATTTCTGTAATAAAAATGCAATAAAAATGCAAGTATTTAGGATGTCTTAGATAATATATATATTTAGCCACAGCTAAAAGCGAAGCTCCCATTGATAAATTTATAACTTAAATCAAACAATAATTTTGTATTCCACAAATCAGTTAACTTAAGGGCACATTCATGTGACTTTTGAGGGAAAAGCTAAGTGATTTTGGAGTAAAACAAATTTTGTATCGAGTTGATATAGCCTTATATGTACACCCAAAAAATAGTCTTCGGTCACATTTAAGAGCAATGATAATATATAAGTCGAGGAAAACAAATTCTTGGAAAACAAATCAGACCGAATTTTTTTGCGTTCGACAAGTTTACAAATTCTTGCCAATAAATCTGGGTGCGTGCAAACCAATCTTTTATTTTTTTTATACACCACATCTGAGGAGAAAGAGTAGTATGAGGCGCTGTTTTTACCATACAGACCTCGTACAAAATGCAGTATTTCACAATTTTGCAAGACAAATTGCATTCATTCAAAATTCAGGACCATCGAAGCACGCGTGGACTTTTAATTAGCGAAACCGTTCAAAAAATTTCCAAAATCACCTATACGGCCAGCCGGTTCTAACTTTTGACAAGCGCCAAATTTGCGAAGAAATTTCAAAAGAGTTACGCTTCAACGTGATAAAGAATTCATTGAGTCTATTTTTTATTAACGGTTTTATAACGATGTGTAATCTTAAAAAGCGTTTGATACGCTTGGCATTTTGAGTACTCCTGCAAGCGATGTTTATGAACGGCTGAAAACAAACGGCAAAGCGATGAAAATTACACTTTTGAGACTACCAAATATCAATAAAGAAAAATAATTCGATAGAACATTTACAGAGACAACAATTTTCATTCACGAAAACAAATGAGTATTTAAGTGTGTCTAAGAATCCTCAAGTCTTTACTAGTAAGCTTAAAGTTTATGTTTTAAGCCGCCGGTTTCCCGGTGTTGGCTGTTTTCAAAGATGAACTCACGACAAGAAAATCGTTCAAAGCTTTCTTTCTACAGCCAAAATTATAACTAAATATTCTTCGGAAAGTTTTTTCTTTCTATTTACGGTGAATTAATATCGACTAAAGGCTTTTTAAAGTTCTGTAAGCTTAAGCTTATATCAAACCTCATACGAGGTCAGATCAGTGTCTCAGGCAAATCTTAATACAAACGTGCATAAACTAGCTTCATAAACTGCGCCGCTGGACTTCATGAAATTAGATTTAAATACAATAATTACTCAGGCTTACCATATTTCGAGATGCAGCTCCTGAAAGCTATCAAGTAAGGCAAGGATCTCTTGAGCCTTTATAATTCTCGTACGCATCCAGCAAGGTGAAAAACAAAAACGATGTAATCCGAAATCGGATTATCGGCTTTGACAAGCGACGCATTTTTCAACCAAAAACCCAATAAACAAACCAGCCATGAATAAGAGAACACTCTTGATAGCAGCTGTATTTCATTTTGTACATCCAGTAGAAAAAGACAGTTAAAAACATCACAAGTTAACTCAAAACTCTGTCAGCTTCAGCTGTCAAAGTAATCAACTTTTCAAGATGCTGCATAAATTTTACGCATGAACTCACCTGTCAAATTTTAACCAATCAGAGCATAAAAATTGGACGTGGAGCGTGACCAACACGTGACCATGGTAATAAAAGGTCTTCCCCGCCTGTATTTTAAAAAAACTGGCTGAATTTTTGCGTCTGAGGTCAGTTTGAAATCAAAATCGTAATAGTCCGGGGCGATACTGATATAAACACAACATATTTGTTGTGAATTTAAAAAAAGAATTTAAAAATAAACGTGAGCCTGCGATCATTTAAATGGGTCGACACCTGAGCCCGCGATACGGTCGGGTGATAGTGGTCAGCGGATACCCTGTTTTGACAGCTGTCAATTGATGACAACATTGATCTGCAATTAGCTTTCTCCTGGGCTCCCAAAGTAGCTACAATAGAAAGTGTGAGAGTAAACATTGGTATGCCTGTGGTGCGGACGGACGGTCGGTCGGTCGGTCGGTCGGTCGGTCACGTGATTACCAAATTTTCTGGGATGGGTAGATTCCCTTAGCTATGGGGCTCCGCCCACGCGCGCGCTTCGCGCGCGCGAGGAGCTCCGCTATAATGCAGTGCAGTCTCACTTCGTACTTCCACTCTCCGAATTTGGCTATATATTGCTGCTTAGGATGTTTGGTTATTTAAGTTATTGTTTTAGTAGTAGTATTTAATTTTGCTGAACAATGTGGTTCTAACTTCAAAGTTTAAAGTGTGACAACTATTCAAATGAAAGCTACCAAGCAGTACTCTCCTGACGTGCATGCTTTTCATTGCGCTGTTCAAGGCGGTTTGATGGTTTCAACTTTAGACTGACTGGAGAAACTCCTATGGTGTTGCAGTGCAATAAAAACCTTGATTTGGTATCAAAGCAACTTACCTCAAGCGTCACAACCATACAGCTCAACCCTCATACACACCCACGATGAAGGATTATCATGGGGCAGCACTTTCACATAACGAGCTTGAACCGGATTAAACCTGTTTAAAACCGGTGTGAAGTTGTCACAGTTACCGTCAAATACCTAGATAAGAAAATACGTTAAAGCTTAAGTACAATCTAACCGTGAATGATAGCAACAACATCAGCTAAAAATCCTTGGAACTTCTCCGATTTTCTCATTAGTATCGACAGTATAAACCCCTCGCTTGCTGATTAAAAGGTTCGCTTAAATTTTGCAAAGCTTAAGCTCGAGTGATTTTCAACTTTGTAACGGGGAGGAAAGCCTGAGACAGGGTAAAATATTATTTTGTTTTAAAAGACACTAAGCCCATATAATGTTTAGTTCCTTGTACCAGCTTAATCTTACCCTTGATCGTCCATTTTCCTCGTAGTTCTTCCACGTTCTACCGTCGGTACTGAAGGCAAGCTCGTAGTTCGCGACATGTTCGGTAAACACATCACGTCCTAGGAAAAGAATAAGTTAATTACAAAGAAATACTGTGGACATAATTGTGCATGTATGATATCTTCCTGCTCTAAAGGACAAAGACTACCGCAAATCTGATAGAGTAAACCATGAGAATAAGTACTCTGGTTTTCGCACTTACTTCCTCGCTACACTAGTCTACTGTAAATTAGCCGATGTATATAATAATATAGGTAACTGTATGGCCAGTGTATCCTTCCGAGTACTGTCATAATTTTAAAAATTCAAAAATGTACAATATACTATACTAGATTCAAGTCACTGATTCATCAACAACTACAGTCCACTGAAGTTACTGCACAGAAATTCAAGTCGTTCTTCGTTGAAGGTTGCCTAGTCCCTAGGCCTTATTATTATGCGAGGCCGATGCGTTTCGGGTCACGTGGTCCGACAAAGTTTTTGAGGCCTAGACAAACTCGGAGAAGTGAGACATTTTGTCTCACTTGGGGCGGAGCTTTTGGAAGCGGGCGAGCTGTCAATAACTTTTCGGCGCTGATGAAAGATGTCCAGCAGCCATGGAGAGTACAGAGGAACGAGCATTTTTATTCTATGCACGTTTTCATTGTTGAAAGTCGTTTGGCCTTTCTTTTTCATTTATCTCATTAAACTAATTTGAACAAGAATCGGATGGTAAACTAAAGAAATAAGTTTATATTTATTCTTCGATATGACACGCTATCTTTCGTTTCTCTATTTTCGCTTGCTCCTATAAATTTCTCGTTATCATTTCACTTCGAAATACTTTCTGTAATTTAATTTTTGGATTTGGAAGCTTATCAAACTAATCGGACAGGCTGTTGAATTTGGTCTCTAAATTTGGTAGAATGTAAACAAACTGCTGTTTCAAATCTTTTTATCAATAAAGACTATCATTTTAATGATTCATTTGAAGATGGACTAAAAGAGAAATTACTTGCACGTTATACAGTAGTATTCTTTCCGATTCAAAGTAATATTTTTGTTCTTTTATAACACGAACTAGGTTAGTTACTTTTGTAATATTAATAGTGTCAATAGTGCCGATCTTTAGCGAAGGATATTTACGCGTGAAGTTATTTATAGATTATTTCAGTTGACCGTGTGAACTTTTCAAAAATGCTCTCGCATGCGCACTCCGAGATTGTCTAGGTGTCTCCCGACCATTCGTCTCGGATACGTCACCGAAATGCATTGATCGAGAGGGCCTGGAAAGACGCCGTACAGGGACTACCCTAAACATGTAACGTGATTGAAGTCTCCCACCAACACCTCCTTTATATTGTAAAATAAAGTGCCATGAACTGAGAGGAAATGATGGGCTATACAAAAATGCTTGCTTAACGTTCCTTATATGCTGTTAATGCCGAGATTTCCGACTAAGCTCAGGGATGATCGGACATTCACAAGGTCCTGAAGTTTACTTTTGCGAGAAACACAAGGCTACACTACACTGTAAATTAAAAAGATCTTTTTCACCCGCCCAAACGTTTCATTTCAGCCCTGCAGGCCAAAGTCTGATTCAGTCTCTCCTGGAGCCATGAGCACAGTTTACGCCAAAAAAAGCCCCGTCACAGCTGTTCCCTTCCACGCTGGGACTCACTTTAGCCTGTGGGCCCAAATCAGCCCTAGGTAATAAGACTGCATTGGCCTGATTACTGTGCTTTTCACAAACACACAAAAGCCGCCTTCACAGTTGCGTTTTTCGCTACGGTCAATCATAATTACAATCACAAGCAATGAACCTTGAAACACAGAAACACACAAAACGGATCCAAATCCACCAGTCACAGATCACAAACCTTGACCTTTTGAACCCGTTTAAGCAAAGCTCTGTTTCCTAAGAGGTCCGTTAAGATGACTGACGGCAGCGAAAAACGCAAACGTCAGTTGGTTTTTGAACTTCAGAGTTCGCGTGTTTATGAAAAGGGCAGTAAGGAAGCCAAATTAGACCCAAAAATAGGACTACTGGACTCACCGAAACGGCCCCACGTTTAGGGCTAAAACGAATCTTTCTGATTTACAGTGTATGTGTACAGTGTAATATGACTTTTAGTTTATAACCTTGGGTGGCGATTCCGGTAATGGTTTTCATCTGGCCCAAGTCAATTTTCAGCCACTGCGGGTTTCTATCCACTGCACACCAACTGCCAATGCGCTTGCTACTATAGTCGTCTTCAAAATAAAGACGTGCGTTACTGGCCAACGCCCACCAATCACCACCTGCAAAGCACAACATACAGCTAGCGTGATGAAATAAGAAAAGATCTAATAAAGAATGGCTGTTTTCATGCAACAGACAGTAGCGAGATTTTCGTGTAATCTTGTAATGAGAACGAGCGAACAAGACAGAAACAACAAACGAACGGAAACAGAGCGATTTGATTGGATTATCGAACGGATACAAACGCTCGTGGCTTTTGGTTGGTTAAGCGAACGCTCGGATAAGAAAACTTCATGCTCGAGAACTTTCTAGACATCAACCGATACTTCGCTTTGATGTCATACGGGAACACGATTGGTCAATCGAACAATGCCTTCTCTTATTAGTGTTTTCTTTGGCGGAAAAACGAAGAGGCCATGTTTTAATCTTTTCATCCATTGGCTGATAAAACAAACAACGAACACTTTAAGGCCCAGTTCAGACGCCGCTCCACTCATGTGGCGAACCTAACTGATGAATTAAGCATGGCAAAAGAGCGGCGTCTGAATCAATTTGGTACGGCAGTTTTAGTTTGGTGCAGCAAAAGCGTTAAGTTCGACAGAGTCTGTCGAACTTTTGTCGAACTTAACTTAGGTTCGACACACGGTACGCCGTCTGAATCAGATGTCGCGCCAGTGTCGCTCCAAAGTCGAACTTATTCAGTTAGGTTCGGCACATGAAAAGTGCAGTGTCTGAACCAGGCCTTGCAGAAACCATTTTTCAAGGTCATACGAAAATCGCTGTAATGTCTACTGAGACGTTAAAGTCCACGTCGCAGTTGTCTCTTTGGTAAACGGTCGCTGCCATTTTTACGACACTTAAAAATATTTTTGACCTGTTATTGAGAGTTTTTGTATGAAAAAGAAAGAAAATGGCAACCCAGGGTCAAACCAGGCCTCGAACCCAGACCCTTCGTATCATAATCTCTCTCCCTTATCACTACACTACCGCACCGTCCCGCCAAAATTCCGAAAAATTTAAGTAAGTAATAAGTAAGTAAGTAATTTAAGTCTTTCTTAACTGTTACATCAATAACAGGTACCCTCGCCCTTTTCGTAAATTTTAACGAAAATTCAACTTGGGCTCCAACGTTGTTCTTTCTAACGCTATCCGAAAACGCATATTTTGCCTTTTTGTAACTTAATCCAGGGAATATATTACATCCATCATGACCAAAGACTTGTTGGTTACCAATGGTGGCATCGACCGTCAAAAATGGCAAAGAACGTTTACGAAAGGGAAATAAGCGTCGACGTCTTAGGACGACTTTTCCGTCTAGTAAAAAAAAGGGTAAAGAAGACAGACCACTTTAACGTCTTCATTTAAGTGCGTTGTTCAGACGCACTTAACAGACGACTTTAGCGTCTCAGACGGTGTATGCATGTAGTATAAAAATGGGACACCGTAAACTGGGACGCAACTCGCCCAGAATTGACCGGGAAGAGTCAGTGTTTTGTCTTATTTTTTTTTTTAGAAAAATCCTTTTTTTCACTGCTGTCGTCTGCTTTTAAACGTCCCGTTTTTACACCACTCGTTCTTTAACGTCTTAGACGTTAAATGCATCTTGACGACCTTAACGTCTCTTGCATAAATACGGCCAATGATGCGCAGAAAATAGTACATAAATTGATTCACTATTAGGTTTTCAACTAAAATAGCGACAAAATACGCAACATTAACTTAGAATTAGATCAGATTAAAAAAAAACATGAACTAGAGACGAGATAAACAACGACTGAATGCTAAAATACTCTAAAATAGGCTCGTTTTTTTTTATTTACAATGGTTGCATTGCAAGCCAATATTTATTTCACTAGTTGCATTGATAACCAGTCCTCAGGGTGTATAAACTCACCAGGAGAAAGCTCTGAAGATGCGGTGAAAGCGCTGTCGGGAAGCTTGTTATCCCAGCCAAGACCAAGTGGTTCTGCGCATGATCCTGAAGAAAAAGCAGATTTTGATGTACCAACTGAACAAAATAAAAACAGCTCAAGTTGTCAAAAATTGCTCCTTAAAGGATTGCTTTTACGTTATCAATAAGAAACATTTCATGGTAATTGGAGAATACTGAACGCAATTTTCTTCAAGTGCTCCAAAATTAAAGGGAAGTCAACTCTGTAGGCGCGAGTCTAAGATGTTTAGATGACTGAAAATTGTATTGATATAGTATCTGACGCGTGACATGTTGTCCTCACTCGATTTGGGTGACGAAACACCATCAATAGAGAGCTTTAGATTTGAGGACGAGAACGACCACGAGTACGAGATATAACTTAAAGTTTTTTGCGTGTGTTCCTTGGAAAGCCTCTCATTTTACTTTTCTTTCAACAAAAAAGTTAATACGGTTATTTATACTGAAGGAGGTTCAGCCCTCTCTCGATAGCAAAATGATAAAAAAATACTCGTTAAAACTGGTAGTAGAATGACAATGGCTACCACGTTTTCCCGCCAAATGATGCTGGTTCACGCGCTTGCAATACTCAGTATTAAGAAAATCTCGTACTCGTGGTCGTTCTCGTCTCAGAATCTAAAGCTTTCTAATGCCTCACAGGACGAAACTCCACAAGTTTTGTTTGTGCTTGCATTACACAGAGTGTGTAGTTATCACTGACAACAACTGTACAATGACAAACCTTGAGGTTTGAGAGGTGCTTTGTCACATTTGGCGTCGCATGACTTGCGGCAATGTCTCAGGACCCAGCCTGAATTAGCGCAGTCATCAGCAGAATAATCTGAGCAGCCTCCAGTCTTGTCAACGCAACGAAGACCTGCAACACATAAGGGCAAAATTGTAACAACAGCATTGTCAAGCATTATAAGTACAGGAAACGCTGGGACTCAAGGGCATCAACACACCCACTCCAAAGCAGGAGCTTAACTCAAATTCTGTGGTATAAGTAAGTAATTGATTTCTGGAGATACGCAGTCGGAAAGTCTAATTCCTTATGTAACTGGAAGTCCTCAAAATAATTTCAGGACGCATTGTCCGAAGTAGTAACAAGGACTCTAAAGAATAACTAGAAATCAAATATTTGTGAAACTCGTTCTCACCAATTACATCTTCTACCCCATCCCCCCTCCCATCCTAAACACTTTACCGGCAACCTCCCAAGAGCCTCGTGAGATTCTGCGATACACGTATTTCTGGAAATAAGACATATAGCGTATATTACATGGCCGCACGGAGTTACGAAATTTCTCTTCGAGTGTTGAAAAATATTTCACGAGTGAGCGCAGCGAACGAGTGAAATATTTTTTCAACACTCGAAGAGAAATTTCGTATCTCTTAGTGGCTATGTAATGTTCTATTTACTATATAAACACCAATGAAATACCAGACCATTTCACTTTAATAGTTTTTTGGTGTGAAAGGCGCGATTTATTATGTAGCCATAGCAACGGTGATATTTTCACATGTGAAGATATCAAGTTTTCGCGAGAAAGCTCACCTGGTATCTCACTGGTGTTTATATAATAAAGAGATTTTGTCCAGTACAGAATGAGATAGAGCACATTTTTTTCGTATTTATGTATCCCCCTGCTAAGGACTATTGATCTGCATACCTGTTGCTCCCGCTGGACTGGAAGTTGGTGGTACTACAGTTGGTGACCCTGTGCCTGTAGGAGGTTTCGGTGGCTGGGTGGATGGTGTAGGCGGAGAGGGCTTAGTTGTCGTCTGAGGGGGAGGGGGTGTCGGACGATCAGTTGGTGGAGCTGCAAAAGCAATCACACGATCTTTAACTACTTTGATAGGCTTCTTTTTGCTATAGTTCATATTCTGCATACCTTTCTTCCTTTTTTCTACTATTTCGAGTTCGCCAAGTGTTAAAAGCTTTAAAGCACCACGTCACTGGGTTTGTATGACGTCAACTATGCAATAATCTGTTGTTTGAAAATTGACGTCATTCACCCAATATTTTTTTTCTTTAATTGGATGATGCCAGGAAAACATTCAGTTTTGAGCATTGTCATGAAATAAAAGGTAGGCTGGGAGTAAAACAATAAGAAACCAGAATAGTTTTGAATTAATACTAGGGAGATTAAGCAGCAACTTCTTTGAGCGATGGAAGTGAGCCGGAAGTGAGCCTTTTTCCCTTAAAATATTTCTTGACGCTTGCAAATTTGTTTTGCTAAATGTCTTTACTTTAATAGAGACGAACTGGCAAAAAAAAATAAACCAAAATCACTGCTCAAGAGTGCAAAACGTCCACTTCCGGTTGACATGCGTCGCTGCTTAAACCACTTAATGAAAGTTATAGTTAACTATAATAACAGATTCACTTACCATTACAGAAGTTGCAGGAGTACGGACAATGCTCTTTCATGATATCTGGGCTGTTCTGGCAATGTCCATACTGCTTCCATGCAGGGCAGTTACCGTTCTTATCCATGCAAGAATCTAGGGTAAATGAAGAATATATTTGTATCCCTATCGTAAAACGTTTTTTCTTTTGCAGAAGTTTGCCACGCGCTTTGGAGAGTTTGCACAAAAACGCTAATAAGCGATGGCAACATGATTAGCAATATTGAAATCTCAACTTAACAACGGCCATGCCATTTAATATCCACACCCCACTTTGGATGAGATTTTCCGAGCTCAGGTGGTCACCGCCTAGACTGAAGTTATTTCTGAGGGGGTGGCACTGTCGGCACCCTTTGATTTCAGAAATATTTCTGCCAAAAAATTCCCTTTTTCGAAGAGGGAAGAAGAAAAAAAGGACTGGGGGCGGGGCTGTGTCGGTACTTTTGATCTTTTTTTTTTTCTTACGGGGAAAAAGTAAACTACCTCATCCATGGGGGTGGGGGGTTGGTGGCCATTAAATGGAATGGCCCTGGAACTTTGCAAAGGAGGGAACAGGGTGTCCTTTTTGGACCGAAAGCCTGTAAAGGTTGGTTCAGCGCCTTAAACAGTCTATATTTGAGTGGTACCGACATTTTTCTTGAAAAAAGTAACCGGATTTCATGATGCTAGTTTCAAAAATTACGTCAATTTTCGTTAGCAAGGCAAAATGAATCAGGGTCATGAAATAAGGTCTGTTGTCTTAGATACAGGGCAGGTAAATGAACGATTTCGTGTGAAATAGGTTAAGACTTTGAAGGCCTCTGCGGCACACCTCTTATAAAGTTTCCTGTAAGTGCCCCCCCCCCCCCCCCCCCCCCCCCCCCCCCCCCCGCGACCAAGGGATTTTTTTTTTTTTTTTTTGACACCACAACCTTTTCCCCCCTTTCCCCCTCGGCTAAAAAACAACTCCCCCCCACAATTTTTTTTTTGTGAGATTAAACTCCCGCTTTTCTTCCCCTCCTACACCCATGCAATATTATTTTTATATAAATTTGTTATCGCCCCCCCCCCACCAACATAATATAACTTATTAGGATAGGGAACGCTAAGCAATGTTTCTTGGTAAAATGGTTAGGACTGTGGGGTCGTCTGCGCCACCACCCTTATAAAGGTTTTTGTGAGTGCCCCCCCCCCCCCCCCCCCCCCCCGAGGTATGCGTCAACGAAGTCGTTATCTTTTTCATTATGGAAGCTACCTACCATACTTTCCCGCTGCTGCAGCGATTACACAAGACTTTCCACCATGTAGTTTATTTAAGGGGAAATTTACCCGCGACTTTGCATCCACATGCCAAAGTCATTCAGTTTAATTGCAAAATTTGTGCGCACTCACCGCTGCTACAGAAATTGCAAGTAACTTTGCACCAGGTGTACATGTCGTCGGGCCTATCGGAACAGTAATTGAATTTCTTCCATTCTTGGCAGTTTTGCGTAGGGGCGTCATCTTTGCACAGGCCAGAACCTGGTGAAGGCAGTTAAAACTTTAGTACATGAAACTTGAGTACATATACAGTAGATCCTCGATAACTCGAACTAAATTTCCTTTCCCTTGATCACAATTTCACTGAAATTTACCCTGATAACTCGAATTCCGCAATAACTCGAACTGTTTTTCGTTTCCCTTCAGAGTTCGAGTTACCGGGGTTCTACTGTAATACACAATGCTGAAAATTCAAATTTTGTTCACCGCCACCATCATCATCATCATCATCATCATCGTCATCATCATCGTCATCATCATCGTCATCGTCATCGTCATCGTCATCATCATCATCATCACCGTGATTATCATCATCATTTTCTTCACCGCCGTCGTCGTTATCACCATCATCTTCATCATCATCGTCGTCGTCGTCATCATCATCATCATCATCATCATCATCATCATCATCATCATCATCATCATCATCATCATCATCATCACCAGTCTGTCCATCAGTCCTCTTCGTTCCCGACGGAACACTGGCCCGCCACTTATGCTCATCATCTGACTGTAGTTTGAGCAGTGATTTACAGATTTTTGCCCCTCGCCTCTTAAGCCCTTTCTCCATAATTTCTAACATCCTACCAAGGGTATCTGAATCTCCCTCTCTTTTGCTTTCCCTGTGGGTTCTATTCAAGAACTGTGTTGACCTTAATGACAGCTCAATAAGGCTGATTTTCTCTCTAGCCACTGAGAATACCTTTTACATCACTGGCAAGGTTTGGGTGAACTCAACCACCCAGGTTACAGTAAAAACTCTTCACAACAGCCACTTGGATAAAGTTTTTCAGACCGGTTTCCCTATAATCATCCGGTACGTCTTTATCGCCTTGATTTTTTCAAACGACTGGAAAGATCGAGAGAGTACCTGATTTTAAGAAAACTGGCGTAAATATATACTTCAGGTTTACCCAAACTATTTCGATCACTCGAAGCAACGATCACTTTATGATCCGACCCAAACGTCTGGTTCGTCCAGCATCAAGTAAACGGGCGTTTCCATATGATCGCCGGTCTTGATCATGCATTTTTAACAACCATCTCATTACCTTCGATTCTTCCATTTGAAATTCAACAGCCCTAAATTAACAACCTGCTAACTCAAAAAACAGGGTGGCAAATAGGTTTTCCGTGACGCGTGATCGGGCCCAAATTACTGCCCTTTTTCCTCTTTCCTCGATCCCTGATTTCCTCAGATCAAATGACAATAGGATACTTGTTAAAGTAGTTAATATTTTCTTTGATTTTTCCGTGATGCGTGTAGCTTAAAAAATCGGCGTGATGCGTTTGCCACTCTGAAAAAAATAAGCAAGTGAAAACACTTACTTCGCTTTTGAATACGTGGAACTGGCTTGAAGGTGCTGAAGTCATCTATGGCTCTTTTCCTCATCACAACTAAAGACATTCCAGAACAAATTAGAAATTTTCCAGATAACTTTTGATCTCTGAATTGAGATGTTATATGAGTCTTCTGAAGCTAAAGGAGTCTTTACCATTGCCGTGGGAAAAAAACGATCAGAATAAAACAGTCTAGTAGTTCCCAGTGGTACGGCGGTACCCAACTTTACAAGCAACCCACTATAAAATACATCTTTGTTACGACCAAAGGTATTTTGCCCCTAACTTAAAGACATTTGGTCATTTTCTTTACTGAGGGCTGTTCCATTTAATACAACCCACCCGATCTCCAAGTATTGTATATTCTTCCAGTCCCTCAAAAACATGCTCGTTGAAAAATACGCAAGAGGCTTATGGGATGTATGGATGGTAAAATGAAACAGAGATTTTCATTATACGTTTCTGGGAAACTGCCCACTTACCCCTCCCCTAAGCCAACATTAACACTCCCTCCTCCCTTAGGGCAAATGTTGGCTTAGGGGAGGGATAGTTGGGCAGTTTCCCGGAAACGAATAATGGTCCAGATTTTCCGCCTGGGCATTGTTTTTGGAACAGATAATGATAGCCTCGTCAACAGTCCTCCTCGGCGAGTTTGAATGTGACGCCACTCGTCAAGCTTGTTCGCATATAAACTATCGCCAGACTTTTGTGCTCGATCAGTTCTAGGCCTCCTCCACTCACTCGGATAGCGCGAATTTGCCTGGAGACGACGCTATGTAATGCAAAACCTTACCGTTACATTTGTACATCGCATTTGTCTGCTGCGCGTCTCCATCGCTTAACTCCACATACGGGACCTTTCCATTCATAGGCACTTTATTACTGATTGTAGGTTTGCCATTTTTAGAAAAAGCGGTGAAAGGGTAGTGCATGATGGACTCAAAATCATAAGGAACTCCATAGTCCACCACCTCAGTGCCCCATTTCCTTTTAGCAAAGGCATCTTCCAAACCTGAAAGGTGAGAAGGGCGTGGGAGAGTAAGGTTAAGAGACCACCGCGGTCAAACGTCTAAATCGTTATTTTTGTTTTTTATTGCTGGGATTTCATTTATCAGTTAGAGAAAAATGGGCAAAGATGTATAAATCAGTTAGTCAACATAACTCTCTTTCCATTTTTCTCAAAATTTTGAGTTTTTTTCGCTGAAAACGCTTCCCGCTAAAAGAGAATCATGTTTGAAAATGGCGCCGATAATAACGTCAGCATCGGTTTTCAATCACTTAGAACTTTTTTAGTAAACTTTTAAAAATTTTAGTAAACTAACAGGATGTTGGTAATACCCTAAACTTTCGATAGTGAAAGTAGCAACCTTAACTTTGAAGTATTTCGCTTAACTTTTGCAAATTTCACTCGTTTGACCGCTGTGAAGGTTAAGAGTAACAACATCTGGATGAGCTTAACGCAGTACTGCTAACTTTTTTATAGTTTTATAAAGTTTCCTCCAGTTAAAAAAGAAAGCTTTGTTCATGATGAAATCTAAATACATTTAAAAGGGCATGAAACACAACGTCATATTAGTAATGTTAAGAAGTAAAAACTTGATCACAATAGTAAACGAAAATAACGCAATCTTACCTGGCAGCACGTTCTCCCATAGGACAGTGATATAACTGTCACGGTCCGGCCTGCTCTGCTCGTGCCAGAATCCAACTGAATGTCCAATCTCGTGCACCATTACGTGGGTAAAATCACAGTCGCTGCCGATGGAGATCTGGGTCTTGTAGCCTTGATGCCCCACATGACCCCAGCAACTGTGAAACAACGGGCCATTTGTACGATGACGTCAGTTTACTACTACAACCATTATCATTTTCGTTTTTCTTTTTATATTTAATCTCAGTGTGGTTTAAATAACAAAAGCCCTAATTTGCAAAAGAAAGAAAAACACTGAAGGATTCTGGTCTTAGTAGTAAAATGACGTCATCGTGCAAGTAGCCCATTGCGGGTGTGTGTGGTTAAGTGCAGGGAAAGTTAATGTGTGCGACATGAGAATTGTCATTTAAGGTGATTCCCTAGTTTTGCACTGCGCATCTCTTACTGCGCATAACAAGATGGCCGCCGTAAAAAAGAGCATGTGAAGTAACATTATTAAAATGAAGTTGACTGAAGAGAAACGCTATTGGAATTTTTGCTTGCTATTGTTTCTTGCCGAGGTGAGACTCAATGTGTTGGGAATGCGCATAACGTAAGCAGTACGCGTGTTGCTCAGTTCGATCTCCTCTCGGAGAACCTCGATAGTTGATGTTTAACTTGTCCTTACTCACTTTGATTTTCATTTAAACACTTTTTTATCACATTGTGTCCTAAATGTAACATCTCGATGTAAATTCTGTAAAAACGGATTTTTTAATGCTTTCTTCCCCCTTTCACATACATTCTATTTTGAAACTCGCCCCAGTCCTCTCTCAAAAATCGGAGAAAATGCATTTGGTGCGCACTTTCTGCAGCTCTACCGCAAAAACGAGTGCGGTGACCCCCATTTTATAATTTCATGATTTTAATAAGGAAGGTGCTTTCTTTCGATGAGAAAAAAATTGGCACAAATGTATGTTCAGTTTTTTGGCAATTTTACTAAATTGTACGGATTGAGCCATCACGGGTCGAAAAGCGCGCGTCCAATTTAATTTTACTTTGGAGCGTAAAGTAAAAACAAGGGCATTAAAAGGCATTTTTCTGGTACGTAAGTGGATAAACAATACATTAAAGTCAAATTTTGTGTGATGCAACATGAATCATCGAAAAAATCTCTCCTTTTTGTCTAGTTTTGGGCTACCCGCGGTTTTTGTAAAAGGGTCCTAAATAGCCGTATTTGTCAGCATTGTGACGTCAAAACGAGCCCGGTGACCCCCAATTTTTATTACTTTTTTATCATCTTCTTGACTTGTTTCATCAGTGTACCTAGTTTCAGCTATAATCTATGTTAGGTTCTTTTACTATGGAATCACCTTAAGAGTAAGTGTGTCTATTCGCTGATAAAGGTCTAAAAATTCCTGATGCCTCAGTTGTCGGGGAGCCACAGGGGAATTGAAGGCGGAATTCAAATATTCCAGAGACGTATAACGTAGCTCAAAGCTCTCCTTCCTTTCCCTCCCCGACGCCAGAGCACCTCGGAGAGTTTGCTCGCAGGCTAATGATTCCTTGTCCGGGGTTTTAAGTGTTTCTTGCTGTTGCGGAAACCATTACTGGTACGCTTTTATTTTTTGATGCGGATATTGTCGAGTATCATTTGGTTACTGCAGCTGTCCGCAACATCGAGAAACTACCGAGGTTTTATTATCACTGTATCACCAACTTACCCTTGGTCTTTAAAGAATTCCAAGTAAGCTTTCTCATTGGTCCTTGGCACAAATCTCAGACACGTTTTTCTCTCCCACTGCTTCATGGCATTCAGGACGGAACGAACAGCGCTTTCCATGTTTTCTAAAATTGAAAAAAGTCAATCAACGGATTGAATTTGATTGGGCATACAGCTTTTAGCGTCTTTCTGCCTAACCTCTAGTCCCAATCTGCAGCCCATTATCCGCTAATTGGAAACGCCATATTTCGTTGAGTAGTTATAACCGGAATAATCAAAAGCTGCGTCTAACAATTGTTTTGTCATTTATTGTTCTGAAGAAAATAACGACAAACACACCGATTTCCTCACTGATTTCCAAAATTAAGGGGGCTGTGTCACGGTAGTCCAGTTCATTGTGTTTAAGTTTGCCAATTACTCGCCCTCTGTCGCTATGGAACTTAAAGTAAGCAAAGAAATTACATGTAAATGACAAAATCAGAGATCCGAGACAAACAAATATGTCTCCTGAGCATTAGTTTTAAAGTTGCAAGCAGCAGGGATCAACTTTGAAAACTGTTAGGCTGAACAGTTTTCAAAAACCCTAATTTCAATTCGTTTCAATCTTCTTCAGTTTTGCCCATTCGTGGCATCTGTTGTTTCTGTTATGTTATTTTAACCTTCCTTTAAAGTTTTAAGCGGTTATTTATATGTTTCTCTTAATTTAACGGGCATTTTGTAAGTTCCTGATTCGGCTGAATTTCGTGACACAGCTCCTTTAACTGTGGGCTAACTGTAGACCTTACATTTTCTCTAAATTCAACCAGCTCAACATGGACACCTGGTTAATACGGACACTTTCTATGGCTTCCTCAGTGTCCGTATTAAAGTGGTTTGGCTGAAAAATGTATGATAATAATTACATTTTTCTCTTTGCCTTACCTACTGAGCAGTCAAATGTGTAAGGAATGACAGCGTTTGGCCACCGCTCACTTTCCACGCTGCTCGCCGCGCGAGAGTTGGCCGAATTTTTCGACGGGTCCCCATATTTCTTAAGATTCTCAGCTTGTTTCTTTGACAGTCTGATGTCTCCCTGATAAAAGGACAAATGTTTTCCTGGAGCACTTTGATGCGGATCTGTAAAGGGAGTCAATATATATAGGGCCACCATCGTTGAAATAAGGCTAGTAGAAACCAAGGATGGGGTCAGGGTTATTGCGGAGTCATTGCGTTTGAGCCTTGCTTTCGATTGAATTCTAAAGTGTAACCAATTCAAATGAAAGCAACGGAGTGGTACTTTCCTGTCGTACTGTTTATTGTGCTGTGAAAGGTGGTTCTAACTTTTGAGTCTATGGATGGAATCCTTAAGTGTGACCATTAAAATAAAAAAGCTAGTGAGCAGTACTTTGCTGTGGTACTGTTTATTATGCTGTACAAGGTGGTTCTAACTTTTGAGTCTGTGGTTTAAATCCTAAAGTGTGACCACTCAAATGAAAGCTACTGAGCAGTACTTTCCTGTGGTACTGTTTATTATGCTGTACAAGGTGGTTCTAACTTTTGAGTCTGTGGTTTAAATCCTAAAGTGTGACCACTCAAATGAAAGCTACTGAACAGTACTTTCCTGTGGTACTGTTTATTATGCTGTACAAGGTGGTTCTAACTTTTGAGTCTGTGGTTTAAATCCTAAAGTGTGACCACTCAAATGAAAGCTACTGAACAGTACTTTCCTGTGGTACTGTTTATTATGCTGTACAAGGTGGTTCTAACTTTTGAGTCTGTGGTTTAAATCCTAAAGTGTGACCACTCAAATGAAAGCTACTGAACAGTACTTTCCTGTGGTACTGTTTATTATGCTGTACAAGGTGGTTCTAACTTTTGAGTCTGTGGTTTAAATCCTAAAGTGTGACCACTCAAATGAAAGCTACTGAACAGTACTTTCCTGTGGTACTGTTTATTATGCTGTACAAGGTGGTTCTAACTTTTGAGTCTGTGGTTTAAATCCTAAAGTGTGACCACTCAAATGAAAGCTACTGAACAGTACTTTCCTGTGGTACTGTTTATTATGCTGTACAAGGTGGTTCTAACTTTTGAGTCTGTGTTTTAAATCCTAAAGTGTGACCACTCAAATGAAAGCTACTGAACAGTACGTTCCTGTGGTACTGTTTATTATGCTGTACAAGGTGGTTCTAACTTTTGAGTCTGTGGATGTAATCCTAAAGTGTGACCGCTCAAATGAAAGCTACTGAACAGTACTTTCCTGTGGTACTGTTTATTATGTTGTACAAGGTGGTTCTAACTTTTGAGTCTGTGGATGTAATCCTAAAGTGTGACCGCTCAAATGAAAGCTACTGAGCATTACTTTCCTGTGGTACTGTTTATTATGCTGTACAAGGTGGTTCTAACTTTTGAGTCTGTGGATTAAATCCTATAGTGTGACCATTCAAATGAAAGCTACTAAGCAGTACTTTCCAGTGGTGATGCTCATTATGCTGAACAAGGTGGTACTTTTGACTCTGGATGGAATCCTAAGGTATAACCATTCAAGTGAAAGCCTTTGGTGAGTACTATTTCGTCGTACTGTTTACTGTGCTGTTCAGTGTGGTTCCAAGTTCCGAGTTTGAGCCTAGGGATGGCGACTCAAACGAAAGCTATTGAGCTTTATTTTCCTGTGATACTTTCCTGTGCTACCCTTAAGACAATGGTAGAACAATTAATTATATTGTGCTGTGGCAAGATAGTGGAATATTTAAAAAATAATAATAAACAGTACCGACCACTGACCTGGATTCATGTTGGCTTCAAGAATTTGCTCCATGGCACCCTTATGTTTCAGGGCTGCGCTGATCGTGAATACGACAGCAAAAAGACACAGACCAAGAGGAGATGATCTAGCCATTCTGCAAAAGTAAGAAAGATATACTGTCGTTATTATTTGCAAATGCGGCATGTTGTAAGCACAACAACTTCTATATTACCTTGACTTATTATATATCCTTCACCTATATTAAAAGGGAAAATTCCAAAAACACTTTGGACGTCTGTGCACCTTGTTGAAGTATTATAGTGGTTCATATTCTACAAGAATACTTTTGGAATTTGTCTTGAATTAACAAGTTAGCTTTAGTATCAGAATTATCTATTTGTCGAAGAAATACATCTTCTTACCTTAGGCCGATCTTTCACCTCTTCTCATTGGGATAAACTGGTGAAAGATGGAATTGAGTTCTGCAGTTTTATACCACAAAAAACTTTATTCAGCTGTGCAGATGACGTTTACGTATTACTACATGCAACTAAAACGCGAGACGTTTTTTTACACCCTTTAAATGCGTTTATGCTAAGTTTTAACAAGAGGTGATTTTCCATTAGACATAGCCTTTTGTATGAAAATCTAATAAAAAAGTTCGATAAAACGTCTGCAATTGAAATTTAAGAGCAATTCTGCTACAAAATAGGGATTAAGGCCGTGTTATCATCGCGGCTGGGTATGTTTATGACTGACGAACGAAGTAGAACTAGACAGTTTCATTATGGACGACTGATAAATGATTTCACCCCTATTTTGGATAAAACGTTTTTTATGTAAAATAAATATTCTCTTTTCGGGAGACATTGTTTGCACATGTGCAGAACTGTTGGCGGCGGACCACCTTATTTTGCCTTAAGTGTCAAAAACCGAAACAAATGAATGATGAAACTGTGTCTCGAGTGAAAGCCTCAAGGTGATAAAGCTTCAGCTAGTATAAAGATCATTCAGTTTTATATAGCAGTTTCCTGGGCGTGTAAATCTTTGCTTCAAACCGTTTCCCTTTCTGAATATCAGGTAAAAGACGTTGTCATGTGCTCGAAGGACAAGGTTATCAAAAATGGATCAGGTTTAAGGTGTCTTTCACTAATAGGGTTGAATTAAATACCGAAAGACATAACCAGATTTAGCAAAACGCACGTCTCGCTTGAAATACATGAAAATCATCGGATCTTAAAATAAAAGCGAAAAATAAATAAATAAAAATAGCAACGTAATGACGTTATTGCTACTCAGACTCCAGTCCGCCGTTTTTGTTTCGCAAAATTTGTCCTTACTGGTGAGTGCCCTGACTTTATTTAAGGGTATAAATCTCCAAGTTTCATACTCGCGTGAACAACAATCGCTAACATTTTTATTAGTCAGTGAATTTTGTTTGCTGTTCTTTACTTTAACAAAAATTTCTGTGCAAATTCACTATACTAGTGAAGTCAGGTTGCCATATATAACATTAAAATTACTAACTAAGCAAGTAACTGAAAGATTTCTTACAGTAACTTCCTATAGTAAAACTTGCTTTACCAAATTTACGTCCTTTCCGATTCTGAGGAAGCGAAAGGAAACGAAAGTCTGGCTAGGAATTTGCTCAAAAAATAAATATTAAATGAAGGCTAGATCAAGTAAGATACTGAAAAGCGGAAAGAAAAACAAATAAATGAAGAAACTGGAAAGAAATGTCTGCATAACTGTTCAAGGAAACTTGAAAAAAAAAGACAACAAGAATGAGCCAAAATGTATTATTTCTGTTTTGAGTCTCGGTTGGATTTTTTAAAATGTACCAAGGAATCCTCATTATCTTTGTATCGCTTGCACTGAAAGGTCATCGACTTCTTCACGCCTTTGTCAAACCAAGTTCATGAGCCGGAGGCGGAATTTTTTAAAACCACTATTAGAGCGAATTATTTTGCTTTCGAAACGAGTAATAGAGACCTTTAGCATCAGGTAAACCGCAAACCGCAGACGGCAAACCGCAGTTACGCGTTTGCAGTTTCGCGTTGCCGAGATTTCAAACTTTAGCAAGGCGTTCAGTTCAGTTCAGTTCAGTTCACATTTATACTTTCCACGCTGCTCGCCGCGCGAGAGTTGGCCGAATTTTTCGACGGGTCCCCATATTTCTTAAGATTCTCAGCTTGTTTCTTTGACAGTCTGATGTCTCCCTGATAAAAGGACAAATGTTTTCCTGGAGCACTTTGATGCGGATCTGTAAAGGGAGTCAATATATATAGGGCCACCATCGTTGAAATAAGGCTAGTAGAAACCAAGGATGGGGTCAGGGTTATTGCGGAGTCATTGCGTTTGAGCCTTGCTTTCGATTGAATTCTAAAGTGTAACCAATTCAAATGAAAGCAACGGAGTGGTACTTTCCTGTCGTACTGTTTATTGTGCTGTGAAAGGTGGTTCTAACTTTTGAGTCTATGGATGGAATCCTTAAGTGTGACCATTAAAATAAAAAAGCTAGTGAGCAGTACTTTGCTGTGGTACTGTTTATTATGCTGTACAAGGTGGTTCTAACTTTTGAGTCTGTGGTTTAAATCCTAAAGTGTGACCACTCAAATGAAAGCTACTGAACAGTACTTTCCTGTGGTACTGTTTATTATGCTGTACAAGGTGGTTCTAGCTTTTGAGTCTGTGGTTTAAATCCTAAAGTGTGACCACTCAAATGAAAGCTACTGAACAGTACTTTCCTGTGGTACTGTTTATTATGCTGTACAAGGTGGTTCTAACTTTTGAGTCTGTGTTTTAAATCCTAAAGTGTGACCACTCAAATGAAAGCTACTGAACAGTACGTTCCTGTGGTACTGTTTATTATGCTGTACAAGGTGGTTCTAACTTTTGAGTCTGTGGATGTAATCCTAAAGTGTGACCGCTCAAATGAAAGCTACTGAACAGTACTTTCCTGTGGTACTGTTTATTATGTTGTACAAGGTGGTTCTAACTTTTGAGTCTGTGGATGTAATCCTAAAGTGTGACCGCTCAAATGAAAGCTACTGAGCATTACTTTCCTGTGGTACTGTTTATTATGCTGTACAAGGTGGTTCTAACTTTTGAGTCTGTGGATTAAATCCTATAGTGTGACCATTCAAATGAAAGCTACTAAGCAGTACTTTCCAGTGGTGATGCTCATTATGCTGAACAAGGTGGTACTTTTGACTCTGGATGGAATCCTAAGGTATAACCATTCAAGTGAAAGCCTTTGGTGAGTACTATTTCGTCGTACTGTTTACTGTGCTGTTCAGTGTGGTTCCAAGTTCCGAGTTTGAGCCTAGGGATGGCGACTCAAACGAAAGCTATTGAGCTTTATTTTCCTGTGATACTTTCCTGTGCTACCCTTAAGACAATGGTAGAACAATTAATTATATTGTGCTGTGGCAAGATAGTGGAATATTTAAAAAATAATAATAAACAGTACCGACCACTGACCTGGATTCATGTTGGCTTCAAGAATTTGCTCCATGGCACCCTTATGTTTCAGGGCTGCGCTGATCGTGAATACGACAGCAAAAAGACACAGACCAAGAGGAGATGATCTAGCCATTCTGCAAAAGTAAGAAAGATATACTGTCGTTATTATTTGCAAATGCGGCATGTTGTAAGCACAACAACTTCTATATTACCTTGACTTATTATATATCCTTCACCTATATTAAAAGGGAAAATTCCAAAAACACTTTGGACGTCTGTGCACCTTGTTGAAGTATTATAGTGGTTCATATTCTACAAGAATACTTTTGGAATTTGTCTTGAATTAACAAGTTAGCTTTAGTATCAGAATTATCTATTTGTCGAAGAAATACATCTTCTTACCTTAGGCCGATCTTTCACCTCTTCTCATTGGGATAAACTGGTGAAAGATGGAATTGAGTTCTGCAGTTTTATACCACAAAAAACTTTATTCAGCTGTGCAGATGACGTTTACGTATTACTACATGCAACTAAAACGCGAGACGTTTTTTTACACCCTTTAAATGCGTTTATGCTAAGTTTTAACAAGAGGTGATTTTCCATTAGACATAGCCTTTTGTATGAAAATCTAATAAAAAAGTTCGATAAAACGTCTGCAATTGAAATTTAAGAGCAATTCTGCTACAAAATAGGGATTAAGGCCGTGTTATCATCGCGGCTGGGTATGTTTATGACTGACGAACGAAGTAGAACTAGACAGTTTCATTATGGACGACTGATAAATGATTTCACCCCTATTTTGGATAAAACGTTTTTTATGTAAAATAAATATTCTCTTTTCGGGAGACATTGTTTGCACATGTGCAGAACTGTTGGCGGCGGACCACCTTATTTTGCCTTAAGTGTCAAAAACCGAAACAAATGAATGATGAAACTGTGTCTCGGGTGAAAGCCTCAAGGTGATAAAGCTTCAGCTAGTATAAAGATCATTCAGTTTTATATAGCAGTTTCCTGGGCGTGTAAATCTTTGCTTCAAGCCATTTCTCTTTCTGAATATCAGTTAAAAGACGTTGTCATGTGTTCGAAGGACAAGATTATAAAAAATGGATCAGGTTTAAGGTGTCTTTCACTAATAGGGTTGAATTAAATACTGAAAGACATAACCAGATTTAGCAAAACGCACGTCTCGCTTGAAATACATGAAAATCTTCGGATCTTAAAATAAAAGCGAAAAAAAAAATCAAAATAGTAACGTAATGACGTTATTACTACTCTGACTCCAGTCCGCCGTTTTTGTTTCGCCAAAATTTGTCCTTACTGGTGAGTGCCCTTGACTTTATTTAAGGGTATAATCTCCAAGTTTCATACTCGCGAGAATAACAACAGCTAACGTTTTTATTAGTTAGTTAATTTTGTTTGCGGTTCTTTACGTTAACAAATATTTCTGTGCGAATTCACTACTAGTGAAGTCAGGTTGCCATATATAACATTAAAATTACTTACTAAGCAAGTAACTGAAAGATTTCTTACCGTAACTTCCTAGTAAAACTTGCTTTACCAAATTTACGCACTTTCCGATTCTGAGGAAGCGAAAGGAAACGAAATCGTACGCCTCTAAGTCTGGCTAAGAATTTGCTCAAAAAATAAATATTAAATGAAGGCTAGATCAAGTAAGATACTGAAAAGCGGAAAAAAAACAAATAAATGAAGAAACTGGAAAGAAATGTCTGCATAACTGTTCAAGGAAACTTGAAAAAAAAAAAGACAACAAGAATGAGCCAAAATGCATTATTTCTGTTTTGAGTCTCGGTTGGATTTTTTAAAATGTACCAAGGAATCCTCATTATCTTTGTATCATGCACTTGCACTGAAAGGTCATCGGCTTCTTCACGCCTTTGTCAAACCAAGTTCATGAGCCGGAGGCGGAATTTTTTAAAACCACTATTAGAGCGAATTATTTTGCTTTCGAAACGAGTAATAAGTCGATTTGTACGCCGCAATTTTTCAGTTTCGGGAGAATATTGAGATACACTATACATAAAAACCCTCGCCCGGTTACGTTTCCAGGCATAGTGCGATTCGAAGTGTTCTATAACATTTGGAGAAAAGCAGGACAGAGACCAAGAAAATGCAGGTAACCTCTCGAAATGTATTAACTCCATAAATTTATATAAGCTCAAGTATATTTAACCCCGTTTTCCTGACTATTCTTTTTAAGTTCATGCCATCATAAGATACCGACGTTTCTTTTAACAAATTAGAATTTAATCGCCTTACATTTTTATGATAGCTTTTAATTCGACTGATTTTTATCTTATCGTCTGTTATGAAAGTATATGAAAATATTTCTATTGTTTTATATTTATTTTTTTTTCCTTTAGTGTTGGATTTTTATTTCTAGAATTTCACATTCCGTGGGGTGCGTCAAATAAAAAATCTTCCTTTACGAGCTTATCAGAATTACATCAAATAAAATGAACTTACTCATTTATATTAGCAATTAAACGTGCTTCGATCGAAACAGAAATATACTTTTGCGCTACTTACTGATTTCTCAGTTAGTCATCGTTCTGCTGCAACTAGACACACGGACAATATTGTAGTAATAAGATTATTTTACTGACTTACTTGGGCATGAACCTTTCATCTCTAATTCTGGCCAAAGACTTAACCAAAAATAAGACACAAACGCCTCGTAGATTATACACAATCTGGTTGTAATGGGTCCACTGATCAGATGATGTCCGCTTTTTCAGAAAAACAATGACATCCGTTATGTTTAGTCATTTTTTTATCTTATCAATTCACTATTGTAACCACGTGTAACTTATCAGTCGTGACGTACTTGATCACGACTCTTAGCATTTAAGAAGCAGTTTTTAACTACGGTATGTTAAAAACAGATCAGTGATGGTCGCCAGATAAGGTACTTCAATCCCGTCATCCAGACCCACAGTTTCGCTCAGTCCCGTCCCGTCCCGTCCGATGGTTTTTTCACCCTGTGTAAGGGAATTTGGATTTCGGGACGCGGCAAGGTTTTGCCTGTGGAATCGGGGGTGGAATCTGCAATCCGGAACAATTTTCTCCAGGGTTCGCGGTTGCCATAGAGAGAAGTGGTTACGCCACGTTGCCATGGTAGCAAACTTTCTGGATGACAACAAGCCAAAAACGTCACTTAAAAAAGTAAATTCGCAATGCTTCAAACTTTGTATAACGCTAGCGAAATTTTCGGGGTTTGATCCGAAAAGAGCCGTATCTAAGTGTAGAAAAACTGAAAATTTTTTGTTGTGTTCACTACTTTAAAGCGTGATGTACGTGTAAAGTTGATATTTTGCTGATACAACCTATCGCTTTGTTGCCATTCTCGTTTCCGTCGCCGTTTGCTAAAGCTCCCTATCGTTTGGATCCAAACATTTTGCTGCTATGGTAACGTGACGACACACTTCTCCTCTCTATTGACGCCATGTTATTGGATATCGCAAACGTGTTCCAAATAAGGTTTAACGCTGGCTGGTTATAAAGAATGAGCCATGTGATTTGAGCCAGTGAGAAACAGAGCAACATCTTAAGTGGATAACAAGGAATTACTATTTCCTATTTTTAAAGAGTGATGTTGGAATATTTGATGCCAAAGACAGAGAGTTTTACGAAATAGGT